ATAAGAAGGACAATCAACAATCAATTTGCAGTAGACCAGCTAGTAGCAAAATGTCCCACGTTTTCTACCAGCTAGTTCATAAATAGGAGCAAAGGCAAGGTTTGTATTTACAGCATCTGCTTTAACAAGCTGTTCACAGACACAGTACAACAAGCTATCTCGCTTGCTTCACTGTAGTTTAAATCATGTATTTTTCTGTACAATATTCAAACTCCTTCCACTTTTCTGACATTATTTCTAAGAAATGTTTGTCCTTCAATTTTTGGGGTCTACAAGGCAAATTCGTCTGCAACAGGCCCAAGCCTCAGCCTCAGCAACTCTGAACAGTAATATACACATTTCATCTCGCTCCAAATGGTTACAACAGGCACTGTAACGGACAGGAGCCAGACTGGCGTTATATTGTCTGATAGCAGTTTAGAACATAACATGGGAACACACATCATTTCCTTAGCACTACAGTTTGGTCACTTCTTCAAATGGAACATCGAAACCAACCTCCTCCCATCCACTATGCTACACAGACACTGTCTTTGGTTTGCTTTTGTTTGCTTTAATTTTAAAGATTGACATATTTGTAGCAGAGCTGGGACAAAAGATGGGAGCACTTGCCACATGGTTTTCTTTGCCACAGTCTGAATGGGAACATGGTAGCTGATGTGAGGTAGAAGAGTTTGTGTTTGGCCAATCGCAGAAGTACGGAACTACAGGGACCGAGCCAGTCCCTCGTCAGTGATTCCTACGCTGTGGTGAGTGCAGAAACGTCTGGTGTGGCTCCGTCTGTCATGGCAGTCCTTATGCGGGTGCGCTTCCGTCGTTCCCATGGTCACGGTCATCTCCCCGCTTCTGTTGTGGGCGTACCACATTGTCGGCGGACTTGGAGCGGAACACGGCCAACACATAACTCAACCAATCCTGGCCCTGCTCACGCTGCTGCAGGTCCTGTCCACCAAAGGATGCAGGGCGGTCATTCCCGTTTGAGCGTCGCTGAGGAGGGAAGAAATACTCCTATTAAACAGACATCAACTGTAAAAAAAATGCTTCAAATCAACCAATAAAAGTGTTGAATGTCATGTCAATTGGATAAGTTTTTTAAACAGTTAAACCCACTAAAACATAAAAGAAATTAACCAATAAAAGTTATAAAAAGTTTCACATTATCTGTAGCTAGGAAAAGTTGGTTATCCAACACTATCACATTGTCCTTTGCCAAGGGTTTCAAACTTAATGTCATCTTGACAAGTTCTTTCAAAATCTGAAGCCCACCTCAAACAGGGCTCATTTATTCTTACTCCAAAATCACATTGTCAGCAAAGGCTGGTGGTTACCTTTGATTATAGTTACAATGGGAAGTGACAATGCATGAAACTGTGTTATTATTGTCCAATCTGCCCCCAGGCTGCTGGTTGTTCCAGCCTGGTTTGGGTCTGACCTCTGTATTGTGGCTCTATTGGAGAGGTGCAGTTTTCCTGTGGCTACATTGTCAGGCTGGTCCGGTGCCAGGAGAGCTTTGTTTGGTTGAGAACTGAGGCAATTGTGGAGTGTGTAGCCCCCTGGCAAGTCACTTGGACCAGGCTGGAACAAAGCAGCTTTGTTCGCCCAACAACCCGACCATAGCACAGAAATCAGTCTGTATAGCCTGGAATACAGAGGCAGGGCATGCATGGCAGGACAGACATCACTAGCAGGACAGGAGATATAAGCTGACCTTTTCTTACAGGGATTGACAGCTTGGCTATTAGAGTAATGAATGGGGCTTGTAATAACCCAAGTGTGTCAGTCCTGCCTTCACAGGTCCACTGATGGATGGGACACTGTAACAGCCACCACTGCAGCCTTTTATCCACCCAGATATCAGATACTTTTTCTACAGGAAGCTAAATTGTGAGACTTGTTGCTCCAAAGGCATGACCAGGCTTGTCCCCATTAAAATGGCTCATTTAGCCACAAATGTCTTCAAAACCTTGTAGATAATGATATCCGGGTGCAGAGTCAACATATTGACACAATATGGCTTTTGTGGTCACAATTGCCATGCAGAGCATAAAGGTTAAAAGGTGAAGTTAATAGTTTGTTCATAATTGATAGCCTACATAGAGAGACATGGACCTCTAGCTCATTCCTACATGCTGAGTCAGCAACACGTGCCCTTATAAGGTCTACCAGTTAAAGTGAATGTGTAAATTTTTTGATAGCATTGAGAGAAGTGAAAAAAGTAAAATGCCAGAATCAGCCTGGATCCTTTCCGTTTTTTTGTTTTTTTTTCTACAATGTTCGCCTCTCCAAAAAGGCCTGGATGATGTGTGCTGAACCATCTCTTGACATGCTTTAATACAGGTGCAATTGTTTTATTTCACTCATAACCTGTGCTTTGCTTTAATTAAGTGGTGGGGATTAAGCAACGTGTTTCTGTAATGATTTTATTTTGGATTGTCTTGATGATCTATTTTTATGCAGTTCCTACCCTCCTAGACAGTCAGCTCATTTATTATTAATCGTTTGTGTCTGAATCACCAGGTACGCAGTTGTTATTTGCTCGCAAAAATATCGTTGGAGGAAATAGAAAGTCTGGGCATCAACAAAGTGTCTCAAAAACCCAAAAGCTGCACCAAAACTAAAAAAACTCAAACTCAACAACCCTCTCATCACTGCACTCTTTTTTGTGCTTACGGGAAATAAAAATTTCCTCAGAGGCATCTGCATAACAGGGAGAAAGTGAGAAAGGCACTGAATTTTTTTTAAACTTGGATGTCAAAACAGTTTCATTAATGTCTTTCAATCAATTACTTCTTCATTGAAGAAGGTTAGATATTCAGGTAGAACATTACATAATACAAAAGGAATCAAGCATTGCCAACTGAATAAATTCTCTGAAGAGTTAGACATTTCAGATAGCATCCACTATATTTTATCAACAACTAAGAATTTTCAGTTTGTATCTTACTTTTGTATAATGAAACACACTTGTTGAATATATGTTTCTTGCAGGAAACAAAGGTGACGTACCTGGGATGGACCAAACATCAGGGAGTCAAACTCATCGCTGATGCGGCGAAGTTCCCGCGCCACCAGCTCCTCGGGGCTGACGCGTACAGGCTCGGAACGGGAACGGGCACGGAACTGGAGCAGGTCCGGCAGAGGGTCTGATGAAGCCATCTGGTCCTCGCTGGGTTGGCTGGTGGGGCTGACACTGTCCGACTCGGAGTGGTACCGCGTCCGGAAAACAACCGAACCTGCAAGACACAAACAACAAGCGGCTAATTAGACTTCTGCTTGGCTGGGAACGTGATGTCATGCGGGGTGGGGCATGTGCATATGCATGCCGCCTGCTCGCTCCTTAGGGCTCGGTGGAAATGGCAAAAATTTTTACATATGATTATCAATGAAGCAACTTAAATTTAATGGGTAAAAAATAACTTTATTATAACAGACTTCTGCCTAGTTTAGATGATGGATAACAACCGTGTTCTCATCTCACCCAGACAGTTGCGTGAGGGATACATGGATGATTGCATGACACAACATTTAAATGGCTTATTGATTTTTTTTATTACAAGAGCTGGGTGCATTTAGGATTGTCTAAGACGAACCGAAAGGTGAACAACAAGTTTATGTGTACAGCTGGTGGAGAAATCTTTGCATAGCTGTTAGGGTACACTACCAGTATCACAGTATTTGACTGTCATGTATCCTTGGCCTTTTAGTAATTAGTATAGCTTATTTTTTCACTGTCTTCTGCAATGTGCATTTCAATCCTTTATTTTTCAGCCTGCCAAAGTGCCATTTTTCTTCAGCAATCTTAATGTTTATCACTTTATGGCAAGTGCAGGAGTGGATTGGAAGCCCTGCTGTGTCTAGTAGGAAGTGGGGCAGAAAAAGTCCTCCTGTGGGGAATATCATGTTCCAGCTACAGGTGGAATATTCACCATGAAGCTCCTGTCTTACTCCATGCAAATGGCTGGTGGATTAGTCAGAAAACCTCAGGCCCAACTTTGGTACCATTTTCTCAATCACTAAGATCACGTTGTGGCCTACAGAGACTAACTCTCCATCATGTGAATACAGCCTTTTAAGTTTTAGTCACACAAAGGCTGATGTTATGATGTGAGAAAGCCTTTAGTTTAAGCTCAAGTGGCTCGAAAATGCATTTGAAGTTGGTAGATATCTATTTTTCCAGGAGAAATGGGGGATTAAAGCTTATGGATGAATGTTACATCAAAGGCATGAAAGTGTGGCTGTTTGGCAATGTCAACACAGCTGCGAGCCTGCCAGGGGGGATGTATGGGGCGCTGAAACTGATCTCCCTCTGCCAGGCACACTCCAGGTCCTGTTTGCTGTGTGGTTTTACGCTAGCTGACCCAAATGTTCCCAGACAGAGTTGGCTCCAGGGAAAAAAAGCAGAAAAGTAGTCACGCCACTTTTTGTGGTCACCCAGGCTGTTTTTGTAGCAGAACCAGCCTGCATGCAGAACCTAACAATTAGTCCCGCAGACAAAGACATCGTTATTAAACAAGTCTGAAGGGCAAGCCCAGGCATGCCCAACATTGCGTAAATACACGTTTTGCCTAATTCACACAGATATCATCTGGACAAAAAAATTAATGTGCAGTGGAGCAATTTTCCATTTGAGATTGTGGTTTCAGTTGCAACAGTAACTTTGTAGTACTTGTGAGACAAGTTTCTTACACAGTAGTGCACACTTTCAGAGAGATGGCAATATCTTCCATTTTTGTTAAGTTTTGCCTGTTCTATGTTTAATCTATAACAAAGAGCACACAAGTCTGATGTTCAAAATATTTGAACAAGACAGCTTCGGTGTGGTCATGTTTTCACAAGCCTGAGGCCACAGGTGTGCCATGTGGCTCTATGAACAGATTTTCCCCCCAGAAAATCAATTTTGACATTCTAAAATCACTTATGACCTCCATAAAGTGTGCCTTCTGCAGTGTGTGGGTGAACACAGATAACAGCATTGATTATTTTCACCTTGAAAACTGTTCTGTCACAACTGCAGAAAATAGGCACTTCATGTGCAAGCATGTGCCCATCCTTTACCCTGGGTAGGCAGGTTTCCAAACTCAAATATTGTGCAAAGTAAAAATAAGTAGGATTTTTTACCAAAGTCCAACAGCACAAATCATACAAGCAAAGCAAGATTGATGGTGATGACAGGTAAGAACAACAACTTGGAGCAAACAATAATATAGACGAAGACTGGACTTAGTTAGAAAAAAAGCCCACACAGCAGATTTAGGTGATTGACGTCACCCTACCTGCAATGTTGCAACCCAGCACCAAGCCTTTGTCAGATAGAGCCCTCATTCCACTTTCTCCACAACAGAGCGGTACCTAAATGATGACTTAGCCCCTGTTTGGCTATGGGACTTCCCCTTTCTTTGTCCTTCTAAATCCTCGGCTAAACTGCACAGCAATCAGCAAACAGGAGCCTGTCAGACTTTCAAAAAACTGCCAACAACAGATCTACCTGCCCCACCTGTAACTATTATGATCTCATATTCCTGTAATTTGCTGGCCTTTCAAAACTTGACAGATAAGCAAGCAGCAACACTTAACTAATGGGAGCAGGACAAAGGAATCTCTGCAGTACATCTGTAAGATGATGACTTCATCTGGTACTATAAATTACCAACATGCGTCAGTTCTACAAAGCACTTCCTCATCTTACATCATGCTAATGACACACGGGCGGATACTGAAGTATGCAGGTAACGGGATGTGCTGAACTTCCTGGCTTGATAACAGGTGTGCATTAAACAGGTGAAATTCCACAGCGATGTTTAAGAGTTTTTCTGTACCCCACCATTACACACCTGAAACATACCTGCAGGCAGACAGGCATTTAACCGAACTGAACACCAAGCACTTAGCTCTTTAGTCCATACAAAGTACTCAGAAACAAGAAGCTGAAAGCTGACAGGTTTACTGTACAGGCTCTTGGCAAGGTTAAGAAGCTGAAAACCGATGACAAGCTTTCTACACAATCCCTAAGATGCCATGACCACACTGTCCACACCAAGATTGCAAAAAATAAACAACTCACCAAGGCTCTCAGCAAACTCTGAAGTAGGCATGAAAATTTCTCCAGTTGACGAGATGTAGATGGCAACTTTGATCAACCTCTCTTGCAGCAATGCAGAACTTGACAATAATAACCTCTCTCTTAAGTCTGGTAGTAACTCCACAAAGACAGCCTTAAATGCAGGGAACACCTGATCCCTGTCCCTGCACAGGTGAGTACTTCACCCAACCTTAAGGTCCAGTGGAATGACACAAGTGCTGGCGACACCTTGTGCTTTATATCTACCAGCCGACCCTTTTATGGCATGCCTGGTCAGCTGTGCACCTCCAGCACTGAGTCATCCCGACATGTCATTAATAATACAGCAGCTCTCTAAGACAAGACCTGGCTGATGAAGTGGACGATGTAAGATGATATCTGTGCTGCAGGAGTCATGCCATCAGGATGATATCATACTTACTTATGAGATGATTATGCTAATGAGAACATGTCCAGACTGAGGGGGGCTCAGTTTGCCAGTCCTGGGGGAAGTGGGATTGTGATGCAGGGTAAATACCAGTAGAGTCAACACACAAGATTAGCTGCAGGTGATTACCTGGGATGATTGACAGCAATAATTGACATAGGAAAGGACAGAAAGGTGACATCATTGGAACGGTTTTAGATCTGTTGTTACTCTCCAAACTTTATGCACTTCTCCTGACATGTACTAACAGACTGGCCATGAACTTTTCACTGCTGACAGCATAAACTATGACATTTTGACAGATGACTTTCTGTGGTCTTACTTAGGCCTTTTGAACATCCTTGGGCATTCATTTCTATGGTCTAGTGACTAATAATCCTTCTTAAAGACCACAAGGTTGGGAGTTCGAATTCTGGCCTGCCCATCAAAGTTCTAAAACTAGTTTAGCTCACTCCTCAGCTTAACATAGCGGAAAGGTACTCACTCTGCACACGTCTCATGTTCCTGGTGCGACGGCGGACTTCGCCCCCTCCTACGGCACCCTCCTCGCTGACCTGGCTGATCTGCATGGCCTCGGTGAAGACCTGGCAGAGCGGGCTGGGTGTCTGCGTCCCCTGGGTGCGGGAGGGGCTGTAGGCTCGACAGCGCGCAGACGGGGAGGGGAAGACAAAGACGGTGGGGCTGTAGGCCCGCGGGGAGTTACACACGCGGCAGTGCCGCGGGGAGAAGCTGCCCACCGACACACCCGAGTCCGAGCCTTGGCTGGAACGAAACCGCTGGACTGGGATGAGGATGGGGGAGGAGGTTGCCTGGGTTGGTGTCCCGGGGGTGGCAGGACTCGTTGTCATGGTTACTTGGTCCTCTGGTGATGATGATGATGATGATTGTGTGCAGCAGTCAGCGAGGGCGGCAAGTCTGTCCTCCTCACAGCCACTCATTGTGGTGCCTGAAGGGAAAAAAAGCAATATCGATTAACATGTGAATCATGTTTTCACTGGTCTTGCAGTACTACTTTAGTAAATCATAATATTCATATACAAAATGAAACAGCAAATCCATTATGTTGCTGTTGTTACTCCTGTGTCTTGCAGCAAAAGATCAGTAAGATTGAAACCACCCCATTATCATTATGTTAGTGTTGTTATTTTTGAAACAGTTGTGTGCTGCAATTGAACGTTTGTTAACAATGCATCAAAGCAGAAAGGTTTCTTTGAAAGTTGACACATCGTTTTTTGCGGGCCGAAAAAGCGACCCAATACAGATGTGCGCAGGACAGTTCTCAAACACGCTGCCGGGTGAAGTGGTGAACAGAAAACTTGGACAAACATCCCCCACGTGGGGAACAAAAGCCGAGCCTCCCGCCACACGTTTTCACCGATTCCTAGGCAAACTTTTCTTCTGATATTGGAAAACGTTCTCGGGTTCATGTTCAGTGACGCACTCCGTTATTTGCGGTATTAAGGGCCCCTGTCACGTCTGTGATGTATTGGCGCTGATAGAACAACCAGTTCCATTGTCAGTAAAACAATTAGCAATATAAACTCCGATACCGGCCCTCCGGGAAGCACAATTGACCGGATTATGCTGTGAACGAATGTTTACACAAACCTCGCGCCCCATTTAAAGCCCCGCGCCTTTTGTGTGGACAGTTCGATTAACACTTGGCGTAACGGGATATGGGTTGGCAGCGCGGCCAGGGTCTAGTATAGACGGCAAGTTGCAAAGCTATTATGAAACAATAAAGCTTGAACTTATGCGGGGCAATACACCGGCTGCTTCAAAAACGTAAATAAAAACATACAGGAGAAAGTTGTATACTGTAATACATCATGATCCTTTCCGTCTTACAGAAGAAGTTGGCGTCGCCACGAATGAATTTTTTTCAAAAGCGGACGAAAAGTGACTTTCATTTCCGAAAGCTTTCTTCAGAGTTACTAAACAAGACGAACTCTATATATAAGTTTGTTTCCCAGCTCTACTCGTGCCCAGCTCCCGTCCGACATCTGCAGACGGCTCCCGTCAGGCGGCAGGTGAGACGGACGCCAGGCTACTGGCGCCTCCTCGCAAGCAGGAAAAACGTCTTTCGCGCCCTTTTGGGTGCGAGTCAGACGTCAAGTAGGGCCGGGCGACAGCGATCTCTCCGCATCCGGTGAAACCATGGCTTTCTTTTCTCTCTCTCCTTTTTAACAAGAATTAAGCGTCTCTGTAGTTACACACAAACAAGACAAAACTTCGCGGCTCATTTTGCCTGTTCCGTTGCCGTTCTCCAAACTTTCCGGTAATTGATCCTTCTTCGATGAAAGGCGACCTGCCTTTTGTTCGTCCTGCCGACCGCAGTTAACCTCAAGAACACAGGAAAGTTTGTTTTCCCGGTTGTTGATGGAGGCAACAAAACGGCCCACAACAATACAACAACGGAATGACGTCGCTCTGCCCCCGGCCAGGGTTGGCGCGGAGCCAAGCCGCACGCGCACAATGACACCTGCGTGAACGTCTTGGCAAGACCTCAAAAAGGACGGGAGCCAACGTCCCCAGAACAAAGGCCGGGACGAAAAACACGCTCTTGCATAAGTATGACGACGGTAAAACTAGTCAGCAAATCCTAATGTACATATTACCCACATAGGGTACAAAGTCCAGGAAAGAAAGTACAGCACATCGCTATTTATTTGTCTTCGCGGTCAAGGAACCCGTGTGTATTCATGTACCTCTTCCCAAACAGTAGGGCACGACCTTTGGACCATTGCAACATTTACGCATCGCACCACCAGAAATGAACATGTGGCAGTAACATCACGAAAGTTCCCCGATCTTTCGACCCCAAACTTGGCACCTGTCTCGGCACGTTTCCTGAAGCCCGACAGTTTTCCCGCCAAAATGCACGGATGACGTGTTTCTTACTACCGGCGCTCGGGTGCGTGTCTCAATCAACAGAAAAGTGAAATGACGTTTAACTCGAAAACATTGACACTTGATCTTCGGTGATGAATAATTCTTTGTCCGGGGGACAACGGAAGGAAGCGGACAACGTAACTCACAGGAAACTTTTTCACTAAACTTTAGCAACCGGAAATTTGTCGCGCGTGTACGCAGCTCGTCACTTGTTTATCGCCTGTCTGGCGTTACCCCGTACACAACAAGCTGAGCAGATTATGAATGAAGACGAAACTTCCGAAGTTGAAGAAAGATTGGACGGTTCGTATAAGGGACTTTCGGGCGCAAACGCAGCGAAGACACCTGCTTTGCATCACTGACGAGCCCGTCGCGAGCCAGACTTGGCGTCTGGAAGCGCGACATGGGTGTGGCTTGTCCTCCTGCGACGTGCTGCGAAATTTGGCTTGACTGCCAGCTATTTTGTTTTTGCACGAGCAGGTAAACACTTCTCACCTGGAAGCCGATTACGGTGGTTAACTAGAGCGTCATCGTGAGATGACAGTGTCCTGACTTCTCGAATATGATTTACGCAACTGTTGTCACCTTTGGAAATCTTTTAAATCACAGCTATGACTTTCCGATAGCCCGTGCTCAGGACTCCATGCCACGGTAACAACCTAAGACTTGGACAGTGATGCAAAAAGACGATTTTTGCAAAGCCCGAGAAGCAGAAAAAAATTGCGCAACCTCAGCCCAGCTGGCCATCATCCAAACAGACCCGCTAACTGGTCTGGTCCCACGAAGCTCTGCGATGACACGACCCGTCTGGCGCAAAATCGGCACTTTTCTACGACTTGCGGAGGAAAAAGTACTATTAAGTAGCGAATTTTAGTGGAGATTTTCAGTCAAGTCGTTGCCAGTGGCAGCAGGCGTAGCCAGTCCGCCCACGCAAACCACAGGGACTTTGTGATAAGCCCGTAGCGCAGCGAGACACAAGGAGTGAACAGCTGATCATGTAGAGTAAACTCACCTCGCCGGCCGGCCAAACCGGGTTGTTTTGATTCAAAGCCCTCCGCAATTTTTTTTTCGGGCGACCTCACTTCGGCAGCGATTCCGCCAACTGCCGACGGCACTGGGTTAAGGTTGGTTCCAACTGTCACGGAACGAAGGGACGGTCCTATGGTGTCTGTTGGACGGCAGATTTCGCGCGCTCTACTTTGCCAACAAAATATTTTGGCACGAGTGCGCCTGTTTTGGCATGACGTAACTATAACGGGACAAAAATAGCACGCCTTATAAGGCGTCGCGCACCATATATGGGGACTTGATACATATTAATTAGGAGCTGACCAATTGCAGGGAATGACATGTTGCAGGAGCAAGTTGGAACACATCGACAATGTGGCGAACTGTGTACATTGGAGCCGCGCCACTTTTCAGCGAAGGGATCAAATGTTCTGCGCACATCAATCAGAATGGACCAGATTACTTGTCGTGCTTTAGACTTCCGCACGGTGGCGCTGTCTCCACCTTCCGCGAAGGCATCCGGAAGGTACGAGGAGCCGATGAGTCAAAGGAACAGTTTACAGTCCAGCCAGGCGGGAGGGAATTAAATGGACAGGAAATAGAAGCGACAAAACAGTCTGTACACTCTGTTTACAGCCGCTAATTAGTGTTGTATCAAGTTCACCACACGCGCCAGGAAGCGCTCTGTGACTGTGAATACAAACACGCTATATAATATGATGTATTAAACACTAACTTTATATGTAACATTACAAACTGTAGCTTTGGGGCAACTAGACAAGCAAGTTGGAGGTCTGCCAACCATCTAACCCTCTTAAGACTTTTCTAGGGATATTCGAAACCAAACTGTGGGAGTATTTCAAGATGAGTCCAAGATGGTTCTTCACTACGACTTTATGCGTTATCAAAGGCAAACCGACCCCAAATATTACAAACCTCAGTGATATAACATTTGAAACCAGGAGATATTTTAGCGGAACAAGTAATGCACCAACGGGGTTTAAATACTGTATTTTTTAAAACCTCCTTGAATGTACAGCCAGCGGCTGTAGCTACCTATGCCAACTTGGAAGACACTCGGAGTCGACTGCATGCCACGCACCACGTCTCATATACGCAGTGAAGGCCGGCGCCATGTAGGATATGTTCGTTCAATGTCAAAGCGAGGTTGTTTATCATGACGAAACGTCACAACCGATGTGGACAGTAAAAGACATGGGCAAACAGGCTTACCCTTTAAAACTGATTCGTTCCCCCAGTATATACGTCTGTTTTTCTTGTCTGTGACAGTGTCGTTTTGTTCCTGGGGTCATCGACAAACAGAATATTCCTGCCACCTTAAGCCCCCTTAAGAGGAATAACAGATCTCTCCTTACCTTGAGTAGATATCATGGCATGCCTGGGCCTGTAGGAATAAGGCAAGTCACGAAGAATGATCATTCCCCGCGAAGCACTTGCAGTAAAAAGAAATGCCTCGTCCTTTCCTGGACTTTCGTTTCTTATGACACCGTCTTCGACACGCCAGATAGCAGTTTTGATCGCACGCCGGTTCAGGTCATAGATAGGCATCCATCTCTTACGAAATATACAGGTGAGAACATTACCTGGACGTGTAGGTCACATGATGGAGATCTCGTGCACAGCGTTGTCCAATCAAGGACTTAGAGGCGTTCCGAATGCTGGGAACGAGAATGCAAAATGGCGGTGGGGAGAGGTTTGGGTTGTTTCATTCAATCCAGTTTGTCACTGTTTTTAGCGATGTAAGCGCCATGTTTCGCTGCTGTGTTTCATAGTGGGAGAGATGTCTAATCAGAGAAGATGGATCGGGGAAGGAAGACCGCATTTCATCAGCCGATCAGGTAGGTAGGAGGGTGGGTTTGTGCTGTCTCCCGATCCGAGGTCAGTTTGCAAGCCACGATAACACCAACAAGAGTGGTTGTACGGCCGATAGCTTCAGGCAGTTTACTCTGTTGTTTCCCTGCAAGTGGCCTTTCTTCTACTTGTACAGTGCATAATTTGTACAGCCGAGAATCTGTAGGTCAACTTTTAAGCCATTCGTTTTTAGCCTGAGTGCCTATGCACCACGTAGCACAGGTTTCTAGGTGAAGTATCTTCCGGCTATAACCGGCTAAACACTTGTGGCATGTTCCCACAACTCTTGGCATTCCAGCTTTCCATGCCTATTGAATTATTTAACTTATCACAAAGACATGACGGCAATCCAAATGATGTTTGGTTGCAGTCTCAGCTACCAGAGGAAATGCAGAATTACATTTTTCCAGGTAGACTCCTCAGTAATACCCCATAATTTAGAGTTGTTAGAGGGTAACGAGAAAGTCAAAGAATTTAGAAGACCCATACATGTCAGTTGAACTTGAAACAAGCATAATTTGACTGATATTAGCTACTTTCACCAGAGTTATTTGGGTGTTTGGTCCCACATACTCATGATATTGTTTAATTGTTCCTCTCTCTAATGACACCACTATAAGCTCAAGCTGTATAATTTATAGTGAGTCCAAATTCTTCTATTCCCTGTGCCCCCACCCTGTTTGTGCAACAAATGATTTCCTTGTTCAGCTGATCACAGTTAGCTGTCAGATCAGATGTCAACAACCACATGTCCAACTCCCATCAGGGCTCCATGTCAATCTGTAGAGTTTAATAGTATCCACCACAGAACATCTTGGCTAAACCAAGTGTCTACAATGATTTTCTTGAGAAGGTCGTGTAGGGTTTACTCTGTTGTATCATATTCCCCTAGTTTGGCCAATTTCCATAACATGTTTGGCCACCAGAGGGGCCTGGTAGGGAATACCATATGGTCCTGATTGCCAGGCTAACAGCAGCTGCTGTGGAACATTGGCAGGCATGTTTGACAGTCTATCCCCATCTCCCTGTGAGGGGAGGAGACATGACAAACATGCATGGGAACCAATACACTGTCAGTTCTGATCCTGTAACACAAGCTAGGACTCCAGTTTGAGGCTGGGGCAAGTTGAAGTTGTATGTTTGGTGTCAGGCTGCACAGTTCGCAATCCTCTGCTATGTGCATTCTTCATAAAAACTGTTCTGTCTAACCTGCATCCAACACTTCATCTAACAGTATTCCGACAATGTTGCCTCTGCATCAGTGCATGCACTCCTGTAGAAATCAGTCTCTGTGTCTTCAAGACTGTCCTGTCCTCTCAAAGATTCCTTTACTAACTCATCTTCTACTTGTTCTCCTGTATTTTTGCAGCCTCCTCCTGTCTCCATCTGTGCTTGTCTCCAGCTCAAAACAGTTCCAGTTCAACACTGTCTTCACAAGACACAGTTCAACTCAATCTATTCCACATCATATCTTCATAGGATACAGTTCACAAGATACAGTTCAACAATCAACACTGTAAAAGACCTGCTCACTGTGTATTAATCTATAGCACATCACTTTGAGTAATAGGGATTTGGAAAATCAAAATCAACTTAGAACCCAAATTACAGAACTGAAGTAAGGATTCTATGAAAAGTTTGATATGAAAAGAAGAACACTCCTTTACCATAGATTCAGCAGTAAGTTGAAGTACAGTATTCCTTCCTGTGACAGCTTTTTCTCAGTTCCCTCCAATTGCACAGTAGGGTTACATGGCTAGTATAAAGATGCTGCAGTTTGGATATGAAACCTGGCTACTTGACACCGTTGAGGTGTTGTGTTTGGTCAGACTTGTTTGCAGAGCAAGTCCTGAAGTGTTTCGCATACCTTCCTGAAGGTCTGAGGAGCACACAGCAGAACATACAGTATAGGAGTTGGCCTGTAGTCTTCTCACATGGTCCAGTTGTACACCCACGTTCCAAACTGTAGTGTTTTCACACGGCCAAGATGTGCACCCACATTCCAAACTGAAGTGTTTTCACATGGTTGATTTGGGCACCCATGTTCCAAAGTCAATTTGTGCACATAGGAACTTGGTTTACATTGTTGATAATTGTTTTTAAGTTTTATAATCAATAATGTAGACAAGTCAAGTGTTTGATCATGTAAACATTGCTAGCAGGCTGCAATATGTTTCAGATTATATGTTCAAATTACACACAATGAGACCTAAATTTGTCTTGGAGTTTATTGTTCATTATGTAATTACTAGTAGTTTGCTGCATCATAAAATTGTAATTTGTAACATATCAGTGTGTGGAAAGATGTCTGATAGGTAAGTGATACATTGTAGCTCATATTACAAGTATTTTCAACTTATCAGACAGGTATTTTCAAGTTGACTAACTTTGACTAAAAAGTAAAATTGTATTGTTAAGAGCATTTAGACAGACCCACAATAACTGTCAGACACCTGTTAAGTGAACAGGTTAATCTGATTAGGTTTCCTATAACAACAGAACTGGTTTGAAAAGGAAACCTTGTATGGGTTATTAAGAGTTACTAATTGTGATTAGACTCCTCCATTGAAACGCCATGTTGCTACTGTAGTTAATCCTGGTGTCTGCCTATATGATTGATGACATGCACAGTGGTTTAGTCTTGCTATAGGTATGTACATGTATAGTATTACCAAGGAGGTTTAATGCTGTCCTTGTTTATATCCACACAACAAGTTGTTATCGTAATCATAAAGAGACTGCAGTATCAGCTAGTGATGTAAGATATCAACAATGCAGGACCCAACCTGAGTTTTTTTTCATATTAGCCTATCATGAAACATTAAAGCTTGCATGAATAATTCCTTTTGATTTGTCCGTGTGAACAGGCAGCATTTGGTCATCCCAGAGACAGAGTTATGTGTAGGCTCACGGCTTGTCTTTAATCCCCTTCACTGATTGGCTGTTCCTCTGGTTCAGTCAGTGGTTGAACAAGTTTGTGTTTGGCGTCCCACGCAGGTCTGTCTTTGACAGTTAAACAAACTTTTCCTACAAGCCACCTGTCTGTATAATCAGCACAGAGCCTGCTTTAATTGTACCATTTGAAATTGCCCTTGAATTAAGGTAACCCAGAAGATATAAAAAAGTAAACTTTTAAAACAGTGTTGAATACTTGTTCCTACATCTGAGAAAACAATGACATCACACCATCTTGTCAGAATGTTACAGAGGGCAGTGTTGCAGTGGTCCTTATAATTTTGTGTATTAAGGAACTCCAGCCAAGTGAATTAATTTAAATACTGGTACAATAATTTGATGTATAGGATAAATGATTGCTTGACTTCTGGCTGTCAGTAAAAATAGTTTCTGGTGTCTCTGGATACCTCCAGTATCAGGGGTGGGTGGAGGGGGAAGTCAACACTGCTGACCTTCATGTCAACATGCCACTGGGGTAATGCAACAAATCTACTGGTAGCAGGACAGTCACTCAGGGCAACTTGACATTCAGGAAACATTTTTTGAACACCAGAATGTTTTGTCCTTACATTAAGTGATGAGCTAATTTGAGGAATATTAGGCCACACCAATTTAATTTGTTGGTTCTCGGATTCGCCTCTTTGTTTTTTTCTGATTTGCAAAAAAAAATTGATTCTGGTCCTGAATCAACTGAATAATGCTCATGTTTTGCCCCCCAACAGTTGAGGAAAGTCCTTTTCTTCTTAGTTGTTACAGTTTTCCCATCTATCATTGCAGTTTTTTGATTAAAAGTTCAAAATTCAATGTTTAAATTTTAACCCAGCCTTTTGTGTTGACTTCATGGCTCATTTTGTAGCATTTAAGCCTATAATAGGATGCCTAGACCTGTTTTCATTTTTACCTTCGCCAAGAAGGTTATGTTTTCAGGGGCGTTCGTGTATGTGTGTGTGTGTGTGTCTGTCAACACGATAACTTGAGAAGGCCTTGATGGATTGTCTTGATACTTGGTAGAGTGGGTAGGTCTTGATGAGACCTACAAAATGTATTAGTAGTTTTCGGACCCCCAGCGGCTTGTTATGGTACTGCAGCTGAACTTCCGGTTTTGATATCTCAAGATCCAGACATGCTATGGTGATGAAATTTGGATGGTAGGTAGTTCTTGTGCTGGGGAAGAAGAGACGTGAGTTTAGGCCCCCTAGCGGCTTGCTCTAGAACTGCAGGGGGGTTTAAAGGACAAATGTTTAAAAGAGGATAACTCAAGAACCGATTGATGGATCATCGTGATTTTTGGTATGTAGGTAGCTTAAGTGATGCTTGACATAATGATATTACAATTATGCGAATATTGATGTAATTTGCATAATTAATGAGGAAATTCTATAAATCAGCTGCATTCCATGATAGGAAGTTCAAACTTGTAACATATCTTATTAAGAACGAGAGAAACACAGGCAAATATTGATTATGCAAATGAAGACTTAATTTGCATAATTAATGAGAAAATGTTATAATTGCGTAGTGGTAACTGCCTGGAATTTCATACTTGGGGTGTTTGAAAGTTAAGTGAAGGTGAACATAATTAAACATAACTTATTCAAATAAGGACCACATTTGCATAATTTATGAGAAAATGGCATTCTTTGTTAAGATAAGACTTCTTTTGGTGGAGAATATGATCAACAGACTGATATAATTCATGCAACTGAGGATCCTATTTGCATAATCAGAGTGATTAGTATATTTCTTATTCATAAAGGCTAACATCATTTGGCGAAGGTATGAGATCGTGGAACTCTAGTTCCAACATGTAACTACAAGACATGGTGACGTCACACTCAAGTTTTTTCAACCTATTTTTATGCCGCCACCAACACAAAGGACTACACAGTACTCAATTTCACCTGCGCAAAGTGAGGAAATTCGTGTAAAGTGCCTTTCCCGAGGACACAAAATCGGTGGCATGGCAGGGTTCGAACCCAGTACCTCTTGGTTCCGAGTTGATCACTCTACCGTTACTATACATGACCCCACT